CACACACACACACACACACACACACACACACACACACACACACACACACACACACACACAGCAGGAAGGATCAGTTCAGACTCTCACTGCAAGACATTTCTACTAATGATTCTGTAAACCCAGTTATGACATTTTATTACCTTTGTTTTGATATAGTTAAAGCAATAACTGGAAGCACTATGAACAGTTAGTATCTTACCTGTTGCAGATAGCTGTTTGAACAACCTCCGTTTGGAGAGTTTGACTTTGCACTGATGAGCTAATGGCTGGTCCGAGGGGATTTCCACCAGCTCTGAAACAATTCCAGTGTTTTATCCAGGATAAATAAGTTGTTTTTTTTAAGGAAAACTTCCACAGGAAGTGAAGAAATTTCACGTTCTAGACGTTTCACTGGTCTTTAACTTCCAAAAATGCAACGTTTTTGAACTCATTCACCATTCAACATTTCAAGAATCATGATTTTAATTTTGACAAAAATAATTGTGATTATTATTATTAACATATTTTACTGACTTTCTTAGCTTTAATAACAAAATAGCTGAAATGCATCAACACAAGTGTGAAGAAACTGAATTCAAATCATTTAAGTTTTTCTTTTGCCATAAATTTAGAAAACTTATCAACTTTAAAATACCTACATTACCTGACTGTATATTTTGCCTCCAACTTCACCTTGAAAATAATTCTGGAGTCCATAAAGTTACACAGTTTATTTTATTTTTTTTTATCATACTTTAATGTTTCTCCCTGCAAAAAATCCTGAATGTAGGATTTCAAACAGTCCATTTAAATGGCAAGAAAAAACACATTTCACATTATTCTGTAATGTTGTGATGGATATATTTAGTGTAAAACAAGTCCAGGTGATAAAGGCTCAAAAGTAATTAAAGTCTCCATTTAGAAACGGTATTCAAACATGTACAGGGCACTCATTTATTGTATAATGTGCCTCTAATATACCCATAATACAACAAGCATCAGCTATACTTTGTTACAACGAACAGATTTGTTTTTTCTATTTACACACATGCCCAAAAATCAAAACAAAAAAACGAATTGAGTTCAAAATCCTTTTGAAGCGAGACTGTTTCCGACCGTGTTGATTCGGCTCTCGTTGAAAACACTAAATACAGTCCCAGTTTTCATGACAACAGTCTGAGTGTTTGTGTCCATGGTGGTGGCTTTTTTTTTGCATTAATTCATTAATTATTTGAATTTTAGTCAGTCCTACTTCTGTGAGGAGGTATCGTGCGTAGGCAACCGCTTCCAGACGAGCATCATTAATCCACACGGATAGAAATACTGCCGGGGTTAGCTGTGAAGAGAGCGAGAGAGAAATAAACAGAGACGATGTGAAAACCTGGGATACGACCAAACAGAGTGGCAGGAATTCAAAAGGCACGCCCACACAGAATCCACACATATTAAACAAGGAAGCTACTCTGTATGCATCCACACACAGAGCGGGACCAAAGATGCAGAAAAGGCAGAAAAAAAATGCACGAACAAGCTCAGTCTGCGTGTTGGCAAATTTTAACGCTTTGTGATTTCTGGTCACAGCCGCTGCTTGCTGTTATTTAATTTATTATTTATTTTTATTTATGTTCAAGTCTACATAAATGTGATCTAAACATTAAAATTTGCAAAGCACGACTACATTATGAATCCTAACTACACAGGTTTTATTATCATCCACTGCCATTAGTTATTGGAGTCAACTCTGTCTGTATGTTAGCAAAATATCCCAAGAACCAGGGGATGGATTTTATTTATTAGATACCAAATTTAAATGATAATATTGTTTGGAGACCATTTTAAACTAATATAATGCTGCCCCCCCAGACAAGCTATGGCTAACCACCATCTCAAACACTGACAACTCAGCCAATTTGACAACTGAGCCCAAATGGTGTGGTAACAGCCGAGCATCATCCCCAATATGTACTCTGACTGCTACACATTGTGCAGTATTTTTCACCTGTTAGCTATGAGAATCCCTTCAAGCTATGCCAAGTTTTTATTTGTGTAAGATTTGCACCCAACTGCACACAAAAACATGCTCCAGGTAACACCAACGCCTCTTCAAAACGTCACACACAGAGCTCATTCAAAGGTCGAGTTACCCTCTCTTCCTCCTCCTTTTAGAAGAACATATCATCATCATCATCATCATCATCATCATCACCCTCATCCAACGACCAACTCCAGTCTTTCAGGTCAAACCCAAGCACCCTGAAACAACGAGGGTCAAAGGAGCAACATAAAGATCTGCTGGGTGTGATTCACACCACGGTCACCAGGGGGCAGCGGGGAGCAGAGACCAGCCACAGCCAGCGGTTTGTTATGAGCAGAGGGGGGCGGGGTTAGTGAGCACAGCAGCACAGCGATGCAGCAGGTGGAGCGGCTCACCGAGCTCTGCTACTTACAGTCTCGAAGCGTGAGAGATTTTAGAAATGTAGGGTCAGAGGAGAGGAGGTCAGTGGAGGATGATACGGAGCATGGGGCCAGTGCTGGAGGATGAAAGGCAGTTAGGGTGGGGCTGAGACTACAGAGCATCTCCAGAGTTACAGAATATACGACAGATACAGTTAGTGGCTCCTCTGTTAGGTTTCTGGAAGGTGAGACGCCATGTTGGAGCTCAAGTGCTACAAACAGCGTTCTGCATATGCAAATGATTCAGGAAGGCTGCTGAAAGCGAGACATCCTGTCCAAGGTGCAAAATTACAAACAATAAGGTTTTTCTGATTCATACTTTTTTTTTACACAGCAGTGAAGACAATGCAGCCTCAGCAAAGTAAATCAGGTAAACCGGATGTGACAAATAAATAACGTGGCTAAATTAGGGCCATAAAGAGTTCGTAAAAAAATGAAATAAAAAGATTTGAAATTGATTCTGAAACTGAACAAAAACGTTTAAACTGATTTTAGACAAGGTTCAAAACTAGTTGCCATTCCTACAATCATGTAATAAAAAATATGGCAGGTCCTTATATCATATAATCAAAAACACCTATTTTTTCAGTAAAAAATATTTTTGACCATATTTTATGGCCTTAATTTAGCTCCCCAGTTTTTTTACTCCAATACTTTTTGATGAAAAATGAATTCTCTTTCTTCCCTGTAAGATTATTTTGTAGAGAACTGCTTTCTATCAGTTATTTTCAAGTTATTTAAATTTAAAAAATCAGCTGCTGAAACCTGGACATCAATAGCCGTGTTTCCATCCAATTTTAATTCGAATTTTGAGCGAATTTTTAAAAAATTTGCAAAAAGGAAAAATATGAAGCAATGCGAATCAGACGTGTTTCCATCAACTGGCTTGAAGCGAATCAATTACGTCAGACACATGTGTGTAGTAAACAGGAAGTAAAAGTCACAAACCCGCAGGGTCCCCACATCTCAGGAAAATGGAGAGAAGTTATCAGGAACGTGTTGCTGCTATCAGGAAAGTTGTAATTATTCTGTCATACGGTGATGGAAACACGGCTACAAAGAGTTAAATCTCTCCAGCTGTTTTCTTTTCAAAACAGATGATTTAGGAGAAAATCCCAGTTTCCTCACCTGGACTTTTCTGAAGTCTGATGTTTGGTGGACTGGATCTTGATGGCGCCGCGATGGTGGGGCAGGCGAGGAGAGTTCCTGGGCGACGGCCTCGGGGAGATCCTTGAAGGCGAGCAGGGTGAGGATTCCTGAGGGCAGGGCAGGGCTGTAGGCGGGCTCAACGTGGGGTTTTTCCTCGGGATGCGTTTGAGGAGGTGACTGACCCAGCGCTGCTGCTCCTCCACAGAGTTGGTCAGCAGCAGCAGCTCTTTGGCGCTGGACATGTCGTAGTTCACTGAGGAAGATGAAGGATTGTTTGAACTGAATCAAGGTGAAGATGAGATTTTATACCTTTCTGGCTGTACGCAGTTTGTTCAGTTAAATTTCCTTTCCTCCCATTCATCCCCTCTCTGTTCTGGTGTTCCACAAGGTTCTGTCCTTGGCCCTCTCCTTTTTATCATTTACCTCATCTTTCGAAAGCACAATATCGAATTCCACTGTTATGCAGATGACATTCAGCTCTATCTGTCTACCTCCCCTACTGCCACCCTCCCACCCACCCGACTGTCTGACTGCCTCTATGATGTCATGTCCTGGTTCACAATCAACGTCTTCAAACTAAACAGAAACAAAACAGAATTTCTTCTCATTGGAACTAAATCAACCCTAAAACCACAAACTTTTCTCTTTTTATCGACAGCACCTGTTTCCCCAGTCCTTCAGGTTAGGAGTCTGGGTATCAACCTAAACCCCTAGTGTTTTACTGTATTATATATATTTTAATTGTACAGTGTCCTTGAATGCCATGAATGGCGCCTTCAAATAAAATGCATTATTATTATTATTATTATTATTATTATTATTATTATTATTATTATTATAGTCCACAATTTAAATTAAATGCAACAATTGTGCTTTTATTGCATCTTTACGGCTTTTAACATAAAAAAACCACACCATATGTTCCACACAAACGTACCCCAGCAGGGCTCGATTAGTTCTTCCTTTTTGTCCACGTGGTCCTTGTGGCACTTTGCGTGGCAGCGGCGGCACTCGAAGGCCAGCGGAGGCTTGAAGACGTTCCACAGAGGCCGCGTGCAAGCGTCGCAGGCGGAGGGGAAGTGATACAGGGTGGGGATGAACTCATGGCCCTTGTAGCTGACGTAACTTGGACGTTCATAAGGCGCCGGTTCCAGCATGACTTCCTGAGTGCGTTTACTCTCGCCTTCGTTGGGGTACAAAATCTGGATTGAAGAAAAATAAATAAATAAATAAATAAATAAATAAATAAATAAATAAAGCAAAAATGTAGGATAGAACAAATAGTGGGTGTGAATAAGTAAATGTATAAAGAAAACAGAGCAGATGGTAACCTGGAATATTCTTGGAATTTCTCTGGCGTCTGCTCGGTACACATCAGTTTGAGTGACAGGTCGAACATGAAACAGCTTACTGAAACAGGGACAGAAAATAAACAGTTAAACCATCACTGATTATAAATATCACCCTGTTATAATCACTTTCATGAAGTTGATTTAAAAGCTAATGGAAATTATAGAAGAAAGTTTGTAAAAACTTTCAATGTCTGTAACGAAACTCAAAAAGCGTCTCTTCAGACCGTACGCTTACTAGCTACTGATGACAAAAAAATTTAAAAAAAGCAGCTGGCGGAGAAGGCAGAATAGGGTTGGGCATTGAGTCTCGAGCATTGTTTTAATCCTCCCGTAACTGTTCAAATTGTAAAATTTCAATTCCTAGTTTTGACATCCAGCATATCGACTGGAAGAAGCAGCAGCTGAACACCAACGAAGAAGAATCTGCAGGTAGCGTGTGCACAAATGGAGAGTGTGCAGCGGTGATCTAAAGCTTTTCACCCAGAACATACCAGCAGCAGAGACCAGGACCCCCAGCTGTTGTCAGCTGGTAAACATTGTTTTCACATCAAATAAACAAGAATAATAAGCAACATTATCTACAGTGGTTTGCAAAAGTATTCATACCCCTTGAACTTTTCCATATTTTGTCACATTACAACCACAAACATAAATATATTTCACTGGAATTTAATGTGAAAGACCAACACAAAGTGGTATACAATTGTGAAGTGGAAGCAAAATTTTACATGAATCAAAACATTTTTTACAAATAAAAAACTGAAAAGTGCGACGTGCAAAAGTATTCAGCCCCCTTTTCCCTGAGTGCAACCAATTGCATTCAGAAGTTGCCTGATGACTGCTAATGACTCAAAAGGGTCCACCTGTGTGTAATCTAATCTCAGTACAAATACAGCTGCTCCGTGACGGCCTCAGATGTTGGTTAAGAGAATATTGGGGAGCAAACAGCATCATGAAGTCCAAAGAACACACCAGACAGGTTAGGAATATGGTTTTGGAGAAGTTTAAAGCAGGCTTAGGTTATAAAAAGATTTCCCAAGCTTTGAACATCTCACGGAGCACTGTTCAATCCATCATCCGGAAATGGAAAGAGTATGGCACCACAGTAAACCTGCCAAGACAAGGCCGTCCACCTAAACTTACAGGCCGAACAAGGAGATCACTGATCAGAGAGGCAGCCAAGAGGCCCATGGTGACTCTGGATGAAATGCAGAGAGCCACAGCTCAGGTGGGGGAAACTGTCCACAGGACAACAATTAGTCGTGCACTACACAAATGTGGTCTTTATGGAAGAGTGGCAAGGAGAAAGCCATTGTTAAAAGAAAACCATAAGAAGTCCCGTTTGCAGTTTGCCAGAAGCCATGTTGAGGACACAGCAAACATGTGGAAGAAGGTGCTTTGGTCAGACGAGACCAAAATTGAACTTTTTGGCCACAATGCAAAACGCTATGTGTGGCGGAGAAAGAACACTGCACATCACTCTGAAAACACCATCCCCACTGTCAAATATGGTGGTGGCAGTATCATGCTCTGGGGGTGCTTCTCTTCAGCAGGGACCGGGAAGTTGGTCAAAGTTGATGGGAAGATGGATGGAGCCAAATACAGGGCAATCTTGGAAGAAAACCTGTTGGAGTCAGCAAAAGATTTGAGACTGGGGCGGAGGTTCACCTTCCAGCAGGACAACGACCCTAAACATAAAGCCAAAGCAACAATGGAGTGGTTTAAAAAAAAGAATATTCATGTGTTAGAATGGCCCAGTCAAAGTCCAGACCTAAACCCAATTGAGAATTTGTGGCAAGATCTCAAAACTGCTGTTCACAAACGCTCTCCATCCAATCTGACTGAGCTTGAGCTGTTTTGCAAGGAGGAATGGGCAAGAATTGCAGTCACTAGATGTGCAAAGCTGGTGGAGACATACCCTAAAAGACTTGCAGCTGTAATTGCAGCAAAAGGTGGCTCCACAAAGTATTGACTCAGGGGGGCTGAATAATTTTGCACATCGCACTTTTCAGTTTTTTATTTGTAAAAAATGTTTTGATTCATGTAAAATTTTGCTTCCACTTCACAATTGTATACCACTTTGTGTTGGTCCTTCACATTAAATTCCAGTGAAATATATTTATGTTTGTGGTTGTAATGTGACAAAATATGGAAAAGTTCAAGGGGTATGAATACTTTTGCAAACCACTGTATGCTATTTTCGTGTATTTTATGTAGAATTTTTTTAAATATTTTGTAACAATAAAGGCAAAAAAAGTGCTTGGTTGTAATTTTTTAGTGTAATTTTTTTCAGAAAATATTTTCATGACCCCACCTTGATGTTTCAGGACCCAACTGCAGTTCCCGACCACAACTTTGTGAACCATTGATCTAAAGTGTGGCTTAACTTAAGATTGTGTTTGCAAAAGACTGCACGACCAACATGATCAAACATCGTTCCGGGTTCTGTCTTTGACACCTTCACTGACACTTCTTGTTCAGTAAAACAATAAAATACGTCTAATACCAACACTGGTTATAAAGGTTATAAAACTGTTCTAAAAATCGACCCCTTTTGAATTTCTTATTTAGCAGACGGATGTTGAAACCCTGCTTTTAGTAACTCACTCGATGTCCAGGGTCATGAAAGGGTTGGCCTGCTCTCGGTCCTGCTCGCTGTTGTAAAACAGTATTTTCTTGCTGCTTACAACCACATACTGTGAAGGAAATGGAAAAGGGTCAAAACAGTTAAAGGTGGATGTGACTCAGTCGCGCGGCTGATTACTTCGAAAAACACATCTCCAGATACAAGAAATGTTGGTAATTACTTTTCGGTCCCAGCCAAAGCGCTTGGTGTTCTTGGTAGGAAGTGAAATCCAGCCTTCCAGTCTGGAGTCTAGTGGGGACAAACAGGAAAAAACAAACCACGATGTTAGCGTTAAATCAGCTTTGATCATCTGAATCACTTCAAAGAAAACCTTGACTTTTGTGGTGTTTTCTTTAAGCGGGCACTCGTCACTCAGAGGATAAATGATTCATCGCTAAAACAAAAGGGTGAAAGACAGGAAATCCTGCCTTTTTTCGTAAAGAGGGACATGCAGGATTTACAACAAATCTTCTGCATAAAACAGAAGGTTTTTAGTAGGAAAAAAATCTAAATTTCAACATTCAAACGTCACTCTCTCCACAACAGAGGTTATCAGTATTAGCATGTCCAGTTGTGTAGGATTAAAGTGCAACAGAGACAGAGTCAACAGAGTAAAGAGATTAGCTGCATGACTGCAGAGCTGAAGCACGGTTTGGGTTATTTTCTTTCCAAAAAACACTTGTTACAGTTGTAAAATCCAACTCAGTCTCAGGTTTCAAGCAGCATGCAGGGTCACCTCCAGGATCAGGCTCAGAGGTCTGTTTATAGGTGAGAGCCAGAGGACCCGTGCCCCGCCCCTCCGGCTCGTCAGGCTCCTCTTCATCCTCAGAGCCAGAGTCAAAGAGCGCTCGAGCCGAGCCAAGGTTGGGCCGTGTGTCGACACGGACAGATTTGTGTGTGCGCTGGTAGGTGAAGGACATTGATTCTGAGGTGCTAGAGTGAGTTATGCGCACTACATTGGACCACGAAGAGAGGTCATATGAAGGGAGGGAAAACAGGAAGTAATGAATAAAAAGTGGAAAAGGAATAGAAGAAATGCATGCAGAAGTGTCTTTGGGGCTGTGTCCAAATTCAGGGACTGCATCCTTCGTAGGCTGATAACATTACAGCGATCAGGCTCATGCAGGTTTCAGTAAGTTAAATTTAAGACCTTTAAAAGACCTTTTAAGACCATTAGTAATGACATTTAAGACCAAATCGATGCATTAACGGAAACATTCAAATGGTCCCAGAAATTATATAATAGACCTTTTATTGCTTTCAATTTAGTTATTAAAGAATATTTCATTTTAATTCAAGAACACTAAATTATTTGAATGAAACGGTCATATCTGACTGTTGTGAACCGCTTTCAACCGAGTGAAAAAAAATCACTGATATCAAGTCAAGTCTCGTTGAAAATACACTTTCCCAAGTTTAAACAACAAGCAGTGGATATGACTGAACTTCTGTTTTTTTGAGCAGGTAAATAAGCTGCTGTATGTGGGGGGTTGTAGCAGCAAAGAGGTCAAAAACATGGAAGTAAACTGTGACAGTTTTACCTGCAGTTATCAGGGGATTTGTAGTTTAATCATGACCAGCAGCAAACTTAGCATCATGAAGACAGATCGTGTCAACCTCTGATTACAACTCTTAACTTTATTTCTGCAGCCAACGGTTCTCAGGAATGATCAAAAGTAGAAAAAAATTAAGACTTGACAAAACTAAATTTAAGACCTTGGATGAAAATCTGGGCGTTTTTAAGACATTTTTAGACTTAAAATTTTGATTTTCAAATTTTAGACTTTTTTAGGCTTTTTAAGACCCGGCATGAACCCTGAGCGATGCGTCGAAGGCTCCTCCAACTGCGGCCCACAAATGCGTCCCCCTTCCAGTCCGATTCGAGGGACGGGTTCGGTGTACCCTTCACAGCCCACTATCCCAAGATGCATTGCAGGTCGACTAGGAGATTTCTTTTTTATTGTATTGGCGGACAAAGATGGAGCGTGACAGGAGTATAGTTTTTAATAAAAACCTGGCGGTACAAAAATTAATTTTTTTAAATAGTATTCTTGTCAGAATCATCGTAAATGAGCTCGCTGAAGGCTGAACCATCCAAATTCTCCGGTTTTCGCAGTCGACAAAAGGACCTGGCCCACATAGACCGGGTAGGCTGGGTCCTTCGAAGGATGCGGTCCCTGAATTTGGACAAAAACTTTATGAACACCAGAGGAGCCTAAAGATTAGAAGCTGACCTGGGTATCCGTCAGCTAGCTCCAAATCGTTGCCGCTGCTGATGGAGTCCAGAGAGTGAACGCTGAGGGAGGTGAGCTGACACCGGAGCTGCTCGATGTCGCTGTCTTTACTGTCCACCGCCATCTGAAGCTCCTGGCGTAAGTGGCTCTCCTCTGCCATCAGCTAAAGAAAACATTGCAGAAACACAGCACTTTTTGTATGGGTTTTCGTTTCGTTTCCCCCACAGCACAAAAACATGGCCTCCAGGCTGCTCGTGCAAAAGAGATATGTGATCTCAATGGGATTTGTCTGTTTAAACAATGGTTAAAAAAATAAATAAAAATAAAAATAAATTACTTGGCTGTTTTTTTTTTATTTGAAGATAAAACTGTTAACCTTTGTACGTCAAATTATAAATAAAATAAAATTAAAAACGCTTTTATTCTGAAGGCAAGTGGATGTTTACCTGCAACATCAATAGTCTTTCCACTGGGAAGGGAAGTTTGTGAGATTTAAAATAAGAAGAATACATAAAATCTCATTTTTAAAGAAAATTTGGAACAAAAAGTTCCCCACTCCTGCATTATATCAACATCACAATGTGTGTATGTTTTTCCCTTTCCAGCCAAACACAATAAAACTTACATAACAAAGTTTGGGAAGAAAGTTCAATGCAATCATGATTAACAACAAACCTTGTACTGTTTACAACAAAGTAAAAGAATCTATGCAGCAAGAATTTATGCAATAGAAAGGGTCAACATATTAGATGTTTTCTGGTAACTAATGTATATTTTCAGAGCATATTTCTGACTTTGCCTGTGCACTGACCGCCTGCATTTCATTCATGTCCCTCTGGAATTTGATGATGGTGCTGTTAAACTTCTGCCTCTCCGCTTTCAGCTCCAGCTGCAGCTTCCTGTTCTCCTTCTCCTTCTTGTGTACCTCGGAGTCGATGCCTCGATGGCCGACCCGCACCGACTCTTTCCTGTTCATCACCTCAGCAAGCTTGTTCACCGCCTGAAAGAAGAATATATATATATATATATATATATATATATATATATATATATATATATATATATATATATATGCACATAAAAAACAAGGCTCCCTTTATGGTAAATATAAACTCGGTAAAGAGACAAGAGAAGCCTGCAGAAATCAATGTTGCAGCAAGAATAAACATTTTTACATGCTTTTAGATGTCCAGAGTTCAACAAAAGCCTGCAGCAGAGCTTTATTCTAAACCACAGTTGCTGTAACTAAAGTGTTTTCTGTAAAAGTAAGAAAATATATTGCAATATGTTCAGCTCTGTTTATATGTGCACACCTGGATTTTAAGCGTTCTTTCATATTGCAGTTGCTTTTCAAATGAAACTTTCACAGAATTCAGATGCTTCTCTTCCTCCTTGGCCTTCTGGAGTTCTACAAAAACATAAAACATGAATATTAAAAATAATGGTATAAAACACGTTTTTGTATTCAGGCTTTCTAGAAGTAATGTGAAATTTACGAGGTTCTCTCACTGGCATATAAAAAAAACACAAACAAAGAATGGCTACTTCTGATTAGCCGGTCCTTGTGTTTCACTTGGACGTGCAGGACAGCTTTTGAACACATTTTTCCACAGATCAAACGAGCCGTCACTTCTGAGGAAATGAGTTATTTCTGGTGCTCATTATCTCTGAACGACACTCACCTTGCTGCAGTTCTTTCAGCTTGTTGTTCAGCTCTTCCTTCTCGCTGGCCAGGTTGGCCACGTCCACCGTCAGAGTGCGGTTCGACTCTTCCAGCTGCGAGCAGAGACAGGGCGACACACGTCAGTCATCCATTTAGTATTTAACAAACAAAAATGGGTCATTTGTTTGAGTCGTTACAGAGCAGAAGTTACGTTGTTTTACAGGCGTAAGAGACTGGAGTGCAGGGGCGGAGCCAGAGGGGTGCCACCTCTGGGACCTGATTGACCACTCCAGGTGCCACCCCCAAATAATTATTTTAGCTGTCTAAAAATGGCTGAATTATAGCCCTTATTTGGCATATGATCCTTCTTAACTACTCCACAACAAATTTCATCTCAGTAAGTCTTAATAGCTGAATTAAAGCCTTTTACAGTTAGCTGTGGTGGCCATCTTGATTTTTTTGATTACGATTTAGAATTAAGTAAACGTGGAACGTCTTTGACACTAATCTTCAGCATTTTATGTAAAAAATGGCTGAATAATAAGTTGTGACTAGCATTTAGTATGTTTTTTTAAACAATCTTCGCTACTATCACACAAAATTTCAGCTCAATATTTCCTGAAGTGATTTTCTTTATTTGTATGCGCGCCCCTAAAAAACCACCTTGGCCACCCCTTCCAAAAGACGCCTAGCTCCACCCCTGCTAGAGTGAAATCAAAGAATCACCTTTGTTGTTAAAAGTTTTATTGCAATGGAATTTTTCACAATAAGGAGGTCTAGGCAGTAAAGACTTAACCAACACGAGCCCAAGTCATCGCGAAAACCAAACATCTTGGACCGGATCCACGTGACGTGGTCTCACCGAGCTGATGGTGGAGTCCTTCTCACTGAGCTCCTGCTTGTGTCTCGCCATCATGTCGTTGAGCTCCAGCTCCTTCATGATCTTTTCCTTCTCCAGGAGGGAGAACTGCTCCTCGATGACGGATCGAGCCAGCTGCTCCGAATCCGCTTTGGTCAAACTGTTTTCCAGCTGAGCTGCCAGAGAATCCCTGCGTGGGGAGACAAGGCGTGGATCATTATTATCTCTTAGAAACGGCTGGAGCTGGATGAGACTTTGAACAGAACAAAGTCATCCATATGCCAGCTAGACTCCCCCCACCCCCACCCCCGTCTGTCTGCAGTGAGACATTAATAAGTCAGTGACATTTTTGTCATTGAGACACTTTCCAAGCGAGGGTGGAACTGAGCCAGCTTTTCTCTACAAACATTTGTACATCCGAGACATCTGTTAATTTGGTTTCACTTACAGTAATTATGACCCCCCGCCCGCGAAGGGGGGAGGGGGGGTGTCATATTGTTTTTGTACAGTTTATTTTTTTATTTAAGAATTTTTATTTTGGTGATTTTTGGTCAACCGTATCACAGAAACAGCTGCACCAATCAACGTGAAATTTGGCAGGAATGTAGATGTGTCCGACCTACACTGCGCNCAGAAACAGCTGCACCAATCAACGTGAAATTTGGCAGGAATGTAGATGTGTCCGACCTACACTGCGCCACCCAACGGTCTCAAGATAGACCTCATATTTGAGGAGGGGGCTCCACCTGATAAGGGGGTGTCTGGACATACAAAAATGCTTATAACTCAAAAAAGATTCAAGGAGCTTCAGATTTCTTATGTTTAGCTCTGATGAAGCGCGATCCATCAGGCCCACCAACGATCAGTCTACGACCACGTCAATATTTCTGTCAGTATCTGTAAAACTGAATGAGTTCTGGCCACGTTTTAAAGTTACTTAAAACACACGTACACTACATTAGGCAGCCAGAGTTACCTTTCTTCGTTGTATTCTGCCATTTGCTGCTGCAGCTTTTTGACCAGCTTGTTCTTCTCATCGCACTCGTCCTTCAGCTCACGAGTCTGCGTCTTGTAAAGGGTCTTAAAAAAAAAACAACAATGTCCAAACGTTTTTATAGCATTTATTAAAGGCTGAATTTTATGTAGATTTAAAAGTGACATTTGTTAAAGATGGGTAAAATCTGGGAGCTATTTTGCTGGTCGGATCATTAATATCAGCTGTTGTAGATTTTTTAATATTTGGCTGTCACTGCTGTTTGACAGAAACACATAAAAAAAACGAGTTACTGTGAAATGCTGTTCTGTCTCCAGCTGGTCCTTCAGTTCCTTCAGCTGGCCGTCAGCCTCCTGCTTTTCTCTGAAACATAACCAGAAATCTGTCAGTCAGCACTCTCAAGGCTGACAGAGCACCAAATCCAAATAAATAAATAAATAAATAAATAAATAAATAAATAAATAAGTGTTTGGATGAATAACACTGCTCATGCATTTTTTTCATGTTTTCAGAGTCTGACCTGCGCAGCTCCTGGTTGTGTTTCTCCAGGCTCTGCTTCACCTCCAGCAGATGGTTGAGCTCCTGTTTGAGCTGTTTCTCCGAGGTGCTGAACACCGACACCTGCTTCACCTGCATCTTCAGCTCGCTCTGGATCAAACTTTGCTTGTGGATCTCATCGTCCAGACGGAGCGTGAGGTTCTTCACCTGCACACACACAGCACAATCAGATTTTATCTAAGGGTCTATTTATCCAGTGGTTCAGGAGGTATTTTAGTGGAATAACTGACAAACACACACACACACAGACAATAATTATAATTATTTTGTCTTTGCGCCAGAATGAGTAAAACGCACCTCATCAGAAAGTTTCTCCTTCTGCGCCTGCAGCTCGTCCAGCTTGTGCTGTGCTCGTTTGTAGTCGCAGTCCAACATGGAGTGCTCCTTTTCCAGCTGCAGCAGCTTCGCCTCCACCTGCAGCTTCATGCTTTGCTCCTCCTGCAGGGTGCTCTCCATCTCTGGAGCGAACAAAGTCAAAAGGTAAAGCAAAGTGTTACTTCCAGGCTGAGGTGAGTGGCATATTTTTACAACATATTTTTAAAACATATTTTTACGCGAGTAAAAGTAAAAATTAGCCATCCAAGAAATTACTCAAGAGTAAAGAAGTCTTTTGGAAAGAAGTTACTTGAGTACCGAGTAACTGATTTGATTTAAAGTGCCTGTGACATGCATATTCTTCAAATACAAAAAGTCAAATAAAACATCTTCATATTTAAGAAAGTTGGAATAATACACACGATTTAACACATTTTTTTCCATAACTGGCATATTTTCTTTTGAACTTGGCTCAGCCAAAGTGAAACAGGAAGTGACATCAAAGGGGACCTCTTTAACAAAGAAAACTCTCTGATCTTTGTTTATTGAAACAATATTATTTGAACTCTGACTCTTCATCTCTCTGATAGTGACTCAAAATAATCTCAAGAAACATCAGATTCTTCTCTACAGTCTGGCTGTTTTAGCAACACTCTGTTTACATGCAGACATTCCTCTTTGACATCACTTCCTGTTACTTCACAGGCAAATATCTCAACAACCATTCATCTCAGCGACATGAAATTTCTTTCGCAAAATTTAATCAATGTCCTCTTTCAAAAAATGCATTCATATGTGTTACAAAAATTTGAGTCACAGGCACTTTAAGATTTTAAAATTATGACATAATTAAAAAATAGAAGTTAAAAGTAAAAAGTATTATTTTTATGTCAAAATTACTAATTTTACTTGAAGTCCTGGTTATAACATCAGCTTTATTTTGATATTGTTAAAAAATTGAGAAATGTTTTTGTTGTTGAAACTGTTTTGCAATATAGATAAAACATTCTTTTGTACTTCTGTTATGTTCATTTGCACTACAGCAAAAATGCTGGATTTGATTATGATTACTGTTTTCTGCTAAATAAATGCTCCAAAAATTACATTATCTTTGCTTTTTATTATAATTTTCCACCGCGATATATACCGTTACCATGAAAGGATTCAATTTATACCCTGATATGAATTTGAGGTCATGCAGCCCAGCCCTAGTACGGTGTAGAAAAACTTCTCCTAAAAGTTTATTTTTTTCCAAAAGTTACTCAAGTAAATGTAACTAGCTTCTACCCACCTCTGCTTAAAAAGTAATCGTGGTAAAATGCTAACTAAAAGTAGCAAATTAAATTAATAAACTAGCTAAATGCTTAAAGTAACAAAGCGCTAGCTAAAAGCTGTTCTTACTTTTGTTCTTTTTGTCGCTCACCTTTCAAAGCTGCAGATTTTGCCTCCTCGATGGACTCATAGATGGTGTTTTTGTCCGCCAGCTTTGCTTTCGTGGCCTTGTGTTCTGCCTCCTCCTTCTCCAGACTCTGCTGGAGGGACTTCAGCTTGTACGTCAGGTCGATTTCTTGGTTGTTTTTTTCCTGAAGTAAAAAAAAAAAAAAAAACACCTTTCATACCTCATATCATGAAATTCAGATTTCAAATTTCACACTCCTGTTTATTTGTTAGAGATTAGAAAAACCTTTTCAAGGTCGCTCAGATTCCCCTGCAGCTCCTTGTTTTCGGTTTGGACCTTGGAAAGAGCAGACTTCCCCTCCTTCAGCTCCTCTTGCAAGCCAGAAATTTGTCCTTGTGTGGAGGAAATAGAATAATGGAAATAAATAATTACAGGCAAATTACTGAATGATTTTTTTAATAAGGAGGCTGAATGTGATGCAACTGCCTTGAGACAAATACGCGGCAAATTAAATGCATGCTGCTAAACGCCTCGATTTTAGACATTACATAATGCCCCAGTTCACGTTTGGCTTTAAATATGCAAAAACACACACTTCATATTTGTTTTTCTTTTCCCTCCATCCACCCACAAGGAGATTTTGACCAGTAGAAGAAAACATGATGGTGCATCGGAGCAAACGAGACGTTTCGCCGCCCCAGACCTGGATGGTGTCTCTGTGTGGACAGAGCACATTCAGGTCCTTAAAACTGAGTCTCATAAGAAGTTCTGGCTCTTTCTTTGGATTTTACTGCCTCTTGCTTCACTCTCCGCCTGCTTCCACGTATGATCACATATTTCCCTTAACGGAGTCCAAAACACGATTCAGATTTTCTAACACCCTGTTCTGCCTCAAACTCCAAGTTGTGTAACGTCTTTTCTCCTGCAGTTTAGAGGTTTACTGCGTTGTTTTTTAAAGAAAGATTAATCTTATAGCCCAGCTTGGGCTTTTTAAAATTGCTTTTCAAGTTACTTCCTAAGATTGAACTATTTTATCTCACATATATGGGGTTATTATGAAAAATCTAAACTTTTTGAGCTTTATATCATGTTTTAATGTCATTCAATCATCAGAAACATACCCAGTGTTGCTTTGACTCATTCATGCATGTTTGAGAAATCCTGTAATCTCCTGTGGTAGCTATTCGAAGCTACCTAAACACTTGCTGGTACAAAGCTCCGCCTATTTACTCAAAGCTCCTCCCCTGCGTCTCCTGCCCACAGCTCCACCAGACTAGTGGCAGGAGAAACATTTCTTTACATTCTCTTTAAACTACGATTTCATTATAAAACTGATCTTAAAAAATGGTGGATGTTTATGATTTCATTGCAAAACACAGATTCACAATGATCTTTATTTATAGTTTATTTAAAAAAAAGTAGCTCAACATTGATGTGTATGTATGAGGGGATGACTGGGACATTTATAACCGAGCCGAAATGTCTTGTAAGAGCCTCTGTACTCGCTCCGGTGCTTCAGAAACAGACTTTTTGGGTTTAAATGTCTCCTGAGTTGCCATTTTCCAAAACTGATATTAAATATAACTGCTTCATATTTTACAATTAAATACTACACTAGTACGAAAGGTTGTAAACGACATGAAGCATTGTGAAGACGTAATGAAATGGGAGTGTCAGAAACAGTAGGGGGCTCTTAAAGAGACAGAGGCCAATTTCAAGGTGTTTAGATAGGCTATGATGTGAATTCAAATTTATTTTTGCTATACATTTCTTAACGTTAAGTTTTAATGGCTAAATATGAATAATGGTCACATGTCAAAGCCCAACCAAGATGTCACGTCTCACCCTGCAGATCTGTAATCGTTTCTGTCCCGAAGCTTCGGTCCCTTCTCGCCTCCTCCAGCTCCGCCTGCAGCTCCCTCAGCTGCTTCTCCAGCTCTGTCCTGCTGCCTTTCAGCTGGCCGCACTCTTCCTGCGCCTCCCTGAGGCTGACCTCCAGGCTCTGGGCGTGTTTCTGCGCCTCGGCCTGACACTTCCTCAGCCGCGCCGCCACTTCCTGCTCGTCCTGGTGCGCGGCGTTGGCCTCCTCCAGCTACACGCAACAAGACAGGACACGGTCAAAGCGTTTCCCCCTCAGGGCAACACGTGTTCGACGCCGGCTGGAGAATGTAGCGAAGACACTTTTTGTAGTTGTAAATCACAAAAACAAGCACGAGATGACTCCATTTTCAAACAGAACAAGTTGAAAGATAAAACATTTATTGAATATCCGAAGCAAGATTGTTTGTAAAAAATACAGTTTCAGAATGAACTTTTTGATGTCACCTCTGAGTCAGCGGTGAGTCCCTTCCTTGAACCCAAAGGGAGAGTTTTACCTTGTTCCCTGTGGAGTGATTCTCATATTTACAGTAGGACTCCCATGAATGGATGAAGGTGTCTTTTACATCCTGTTTTGAAGGGATTTTCCTACTTCAAAAACGCCTAACAAGTAGGGCTGTATATTGGCAAGAATTTGGCGATACGATACATATCATGAGAGAGGGGTCACGATACGATATATCCCGATATATTGCGATACTATAAGCAAGACAATATATTGCGATATATTGCGATTTTTTTTTGTCCAAAAATTTTATTAAATAAAAACTTCTTACAGGGGAAAGAAATGAAAAACCAAAATTCATTGTCTCAGAMAATTCTAATATTACATAGACATACTTTTGATACATTTAGCTGTGTTCTGCTTTGTATGTGTTTTATTTTATTTGTGTCATATTTATAATTTCATCCATGTTTTCAATTATTAGACTAAATTTGACAATAAATAGTTTGAAAATATATTTTATGCAGCTTTTAGTTTTTAATATTAACTTACAGTATGGTCACCCCACACTTAACAATAGCCTCTACCTCAAGATGTAGAGTAGCCAAATGGCTGACTCACTGCTGCCAACTAGTGGTCAGAGGCTGAACTACAACATAAAAATGAACAGCTGGCAGGAAAGTTGACATTTTAAACCTTAATAAAAAATCAATACAGGGCTTTAGAATATCGATACAGTATCGGGAAATGAAATATCGCGATATTTCAGTGTATTGATATTTTCTTACACCCTTACTAACAAGTTCTGTGAGATTCCAGGTTTGTTTTGCCTTTTGATGCTATTTGGAGGGCTATTTTCATGGTTTAAGGCTGACAAAGACAAAACCTCAGGCCTCAGTCTCTTGTAGCCCAACAAGTAATAACTCTACTCGACACCATGGACAAGACTCTTATTTAACTAAACTTATCCTTTCCTCTGTCGGTGAAATGTTTGCTTGTATTTGAAGGCTAAACGCTTCCATTTTTTACTTTTGTTTTGCTTCCCCTTTCTGGAAACCACACAAGCAGATCTCTAAAAAGAGATTTCCAGCACATGGCTGCCAATCACTGGAATTTTATTTAATTTTTTTAGGGATGAATGATATTTCGGCATTAATAACGGTATCGGTCGATATTAGTCATTTTTTAGAATATCGATATTGGCCCGATATGTAAAACTGGGCCGATATTAACGTCCGATATTGATTTCCCACTTTTTATCTTTGTGTTTCTGTTTTGGGAGGAGAGATGTTCGACTGAGCGGCATCTGTTTGATCATGATGGTGTAGGGGTAACCCTGGTTTCTATTTTTTTTGTCTTTGATTTTGCTTTTACACTTATAAGAAGAAAGTCATTTTAAAGTTTGTTTCTATTTTCTTTAAGTGATAAGACAATATGTTCTATATGTTTTCCTCATTTAATCTTCTATTAGAGGTTATAATCAATATATCATTACTCAAAGTTTTATTGAATTAATCTTGGCATCTCTCTTTATTCCAGAGATTAACACTGTGAAGAAAAAAAGAGTTGAAATGTGTTTTACTGTTTTTTCTTAGTACTGGTTTATTAATCATGATTTTATCATTTTTTTAAAATTGGTTTAATGATTAATTATTGTGTACTATTAATCTCACTATTAGTCCATTTGTGCAAAGTAGAGAAGTGATTTTTAAGACGACAGTTAGTCTGTCTTTCCAGACTTTCAAGGTCCTTTGCAGATAACAACCCACAGCTGGCCGCGCCAGTGTGAGAAAAACAGATTGTTTTGTTTCTCGCTCCTTTTTCTCAAGGAACTAACTTTCTGCTCTCACAGTTACCAGTTGTTCTTGTCTGTCGTTGGAGTAAGCATGGTTCTGACTGAGTCTCTGTCCGTCTCTGGACACCTGTCTGGATGGAAGTCTGGTTGTCATTAACTGCCGAGAAGCACTGTACTGCGACCGCGCCGAGAGCCACTGGGCTCGCCAGGGGTGAGACAGAATCTTCTCAACCCCCTGATGTCATGACGGACATTATCCATCCTGGCGGACTTCGGATGCCGACACTCTCAAAAACCTTCTGCCTGCCTGCTTAGAGTCTGAAGACATCTAAATGTGGCAGTATGCCCTGTAGGCTTTGAATGCACCACACAAGTGCCTGCATCTAATTGGTCGTGGCGCTGGCTGCCTGTATATAAAGGGCCCTCCCTCTACCTGTGTGAAAATGTTTGCCTCCCGGTTCAGACTACTATGGTTGCGGGTGCTGCACGCTAGCCCCAGGCTAGTGGGTGCATGAAGGGTGTGTTTAACGACCCTTGATCCTTTTTATGGCTACCAGAATGAGTCTACCTGATTCCTCCTCCTTTAGAGGAGCTACACTTTAGGCTCAGTGACGCTGCTGTTTGTCCTTTGCTGGTGTTCTGCTGGAGGCCCAATGTGTTCACTTCCGGTTTCCTATCTATGCCGTGTGGTTCTTTGGCCGGCTAAATAACTGTTGCTGTGTTAGACCTTCATCGGCTCCTGCTGGTCGTCATTCTGCCCTGACTGGCTTAGTGACGCTCAGCTCAAAGTGATTCTGTGGGTTCCTCACAGCTGCTGGATGTAATTCACACCCAAAGTCTACTGCTGCTTGGCTACCTGCCACCGGACTGAGACATCTGAATTCTTACCATTTTTATATGTATTTTAACATCTTTTAATTGAATGTTTGTTTCTTAATTTGTTTTTTGTATTTGTGACAGGGCAGTGGCCAGCTCCTGGTGTGGGTGGTGGCCTTTCCAGGTGGTGGTACTCCTTTTGGTTTGGTGCACGATTTTTCTTTTGTTTGCTTTGTTTCTCTTCTTTTTAGGACACTACCCTGAATTTCACTCCTCCTTGGGTTGAGCCAGAACTGACTTAATGTGTGAGTGGTTTTAACC